TTTCTTTAAATGCCACTTTTTTTTATTGTACATAATATATCTTGAGCAGACTACATTTTTTGCCTTTAACATGTTTGCACACGTCTGTCTTTTGCACAAATCTGAGTGATTCTATCCATGCCAAATGTGACATGTACATTTCTCCAGTGTGAGATCAATAAAGTCTATCTTATCTTACCTTATCTTACAAGTAATGTTTAATTTTCTTATATATATTTAGATATTATAAATCAGTATTGGCATCATACATTGTCTTCAACAAATGAAATATAAATACACTAATAATGTTTGATAAATATGGGGTGGAACACTAGATTAGGGGTAATCATCTTTCATCATCTTTATCTATATAGCGCCTTTCACAGACCAGAGTCACAAAGTACTACAGAAATCTTCATTAATGTGCATTGTGCATAAATTCCTGAATCCAGTGACAGAATCGTATTGAATTGAAAATGCCCTGTATCTGTGTGTGTAATATTGTGGCCTTTGTATCGCTGCCAAACCTCTAAAACATACCCAGCCCTAATAATTCAGTTTTGCCAGGCCTTCAAAAGCTCATGTCCTTGTGAAACGCACTAAGGCTTGTCTTGCAACCCAACCTTGATGGAAACTGCTCACGGTTGTTGTCTTCCATCGCTGCATTGTACTATTCCTAAACCTATTGAGCGGTGGCTAATGACTTGTCTTGAATTGCATCGCTCCCCTGCTCCTGCGCTGCCCTGTGAGGTTCACATGATACACGACCGCTCCGATTCCCAGCAAGGAAGGAAAACAACTGAAAGGCGAGCGAGGGGGAAGATGTTATTGACAAGGTCACGAGAGACAACCGTGAAAAGAAATATGCCTTTTTTTCCCCTCACCTACAGATTCCTGATTAAACAAGCCAAGCCACAAGGCGCGCTCCTAACCAACTGACCTTATTCTTGACACTTCCACTGCTATTACCACTGCAAATGCCCCACTTGTATTCAATTCCATGTAATCTTGTATAGCCCTAAATCACAACAGTAGTTCTCTTGGAGGACTTCACAAAACCATTTAATTCGCCAACACAGATCAGAGATTCAAACAGGTCAAACCCAAGAAATGCAATGATAAAAAACACATTGAGCCATTGTTCCATAAGGGAAAAATGTCCATAAATGTCCATAAATGTTGCTGAATGTTGAGCGTCCTGCATCATCACCACTGTCCTTAGACCCACCTATATCAGCAATAAAAAACTCTTAATAAATCAACCCAAAATGTCTTTTATTATCTTAAAAACCAAACCAAACTCATTGATTCATGCACTCCGACTGAGACAAACCCTTTGACCCCGAAAGGCACATAGGGTCCGTCACATCCTCGGCCACACGGAGCCAGAGGGCGCAGAAGCCGCTAGTATCTTGGCCTGGCCTCCCACACATGAATAAGCATCATGAGGGCTTGTTTATCGACTATGGGAAACTAGGGCATCTCTCCTGTAGCGTGCACCCCGAATAAACATCGCTGCAATGTGGAGCGCATCAACACATTTTAAAATCAATTATGCTCGGGCTGTTTATCGCCGTATAAAACGAGTTAAGCTGTTGTCATCTTGTATTAATTGGTATCTATTGATTGACAGCGACTGGAGTCATCTGACTGTAACTATAATTCAGGCTTTGTGCTTCAAACCTACAAAAAGTTACATTCTAGCATGATTGTTAAGTAAGTGGTCATCATTCGCAAATAGTAAAAGCTGTGATTATTTACCGGTAAGTCCTTAACAAAAAACAAGTAATACTGCAACATTTTTTTTAAAAAAATCCAATGTGTCATTTTTTTATGAACTCTGAATACCGCTATATGAAGATTTGTCAATAAAAAAGCAGCTTTAAAGTGATTTCAAGCACAGTAATTTTTTTTTGTTATTGGGGTCAGTAAAATAAAACAAGCTTCATTTACGCATTTATCATTAAAAAACGTTTTGGTTTTTTGCAGTGGATCAATTTGTATGAAAATCTGTCTTGAAGTTGTTGGACACATTTGTTCTGGGAGCATTCTTGATTTAAAAACATAGCGTGAATCTCAATCGCAATGTAAACAACTGCCCCCCCCCCCCCCCCCCCCCCCTCCAAGCACTCCATTTTTGTCCAGCTATACTCTATGCAGTAAAAATCAGTATTGCACAAATGTAAAGCCCTGTTCTCTAGCCAACCTCGTCTCCCCCTCCACCCCCTTCATCCCTCCTCCCCCCTCTCTCCTCTGTGTCCTTTGAACAGTCAACTGAACACGGGCAACATCTCCCACCGGAGCACAGGGGAATCCATCTCTGACACTGCTCACCTTCTGTTATCCTATAGCCACAAATGGAGAGGAAGGAAGCAGGAAATTCAGAAAAATCATAGACAAAAAAAAAAATCAAGGTCAAGACGCTTCCAATGGATTTCCACATCATTGATTGGATGTCATCCTCAAAATGTTTCATAATATGTTGTGACTCAGGCTGTAGTCATGATAATCTATTTAGCTGCAGGCGATTACACTTTTGTATTGTTGAGTCGTTTGAATCTGTAAAATAATGGATTTTTTTTTAAACGAATAGAAGCGAGATGTAAAAAAAAGGTTGTTTAATGAGAAATACTGATTCATCAATTACTAAATTTTTTGACAATGAATAAATAACCAGCATTAATTGTGTTATACTTTTTTGTCAACACTCCCTAAGCATAATCTGGGCAATCTGAGAAAGAAATATTGTGAGTATTTTTCTCATATCTGTTTTCCATTATTAAAATATAAAATACTATCGCACAGACAGCATCAATTAAATGTTCAAGCCAAATGTTTTAAGAGATTAAGCATTTTTTTGTGTGTGAGGCGAATAAAGAGAGACTCAGATTCAGGCTGCGGTCCTTGGCTCAGTCCTTTCTCCAAAACAGTGAGATTAGGAGAATGAACAAGTCCATAATCATTGTCTCTTGATAATATTTCATGTAAATAATCAAGATCGAGACTAGTTAAGATTGCAATTTTTTCAATCTTTCCATTTTTGCCTTACTAACGACTTCCCATTGATTTTCTTTTTTGCTCATATTGTTCCAGTCAAACTAGCCGCATGGTGCCAAGAACACGTCTACATTTCTTTGTTAGACGATATGCCATCTTGTTATCCGACTGAAATACATTCACAAGTAATTAGATATTATTTATTATTAAGTATTTTCCATGAAACCGATACACGGGTCGACCTTTAAAACTCAGATCAGGCCAGGCCATTCAACTGCCACTCTTTTCCATAAACACATGTATGCGATCCAGGCGGAGAGGTGTTAACAGCCAATGGGGGTGTCACTTCCTGTTTACTATCGGTCACGTGACTTGACACCGCGCACCTGTTCAAACACTGTCAGCGTCCATCCATCTATCCTCATCTTTTCATTGTCAACGCAGAGACGACATGGATGAAGGGGCTTAGTTACACCGTGCCAAAATATTAATGGCTGGTCTTATTACTTCATGCCCTTTACAAAGCCTGGATGCCGGCCAGAAGATTTCCAGGAACACAATTCGTCGTCGCGTTTTATTGTCCCGGTTCATTAACGCATCACTAAAGCATATAAATGGTTAAGATAGAGTAGATTTTATTTTATTTTTTAATTAATGGGGTAGTAGGTTTACATGGGTCTTTACTATTACAAATAGAGGTTACTGTTAAGAATGCAAAGGATTAATGCCAGCTAAAAAACTATTTTGCCTCACAAGTACAACCATATATAAATATTTGGTTTGCCATTATATATTCATTCATTATATTAATCAGAAATACAGTATGTCTGACAAAGGCGGAAGCAAAATATGTCAGGTAATTAAGCACGTGTTTTTGCTCTGAAGATCTGAATAAACACAATAATAAAATGAAAAAAAATAATTGTCTGATAGAATAATTGAACTGCAAAGGACTCAAAAACCTGCGTACCACTGGTTAGGAAACAATGTTATGCTATATACTTATAATAGAACGGTTTCTCACTGGGCTGGCTTCTTTGCATGTTTGGAAGTTGTTGTAAACAGTTATTATAGCAGATGCCAGAAACCCTGTATAGAACCGGGAGTATGCATAAATAAGTACATTTGAAGTAGATCATTCCAGTGAAAAGGGTGAAACGACGAAAGCCTGCAACAACGTATAGTCCGTCATAAAGGAGAGAGAGTGTGACCAGCTGCTGATGATGATGGACGGACCAGAGACGCTTTGAAATGCAAACCCTCCTCAGGCAGACAGGACCCGGATTTCAAATAGGACTAAATAAACCGCTGTGGAGGAGACGTACAACTACCCCAAATCCAAAGAGCACTTCAGTAACACCATTTGATTAGATTAAAGAAATGTAAAGCTGACATGAAAGAGTAGATTTGCATACTACTCTAATTGTAGATGTGGCTCAGACCGCAGAAATCCTCCCAGTTTAAATCATACATAAATGAATAATAAATGTTCACCAGCATTGACCAATTAATAACAACATTCAGCAAGAGTAAAGGACATACTGCTGTCTTTATGTGCATGTTGGGCAAGTCAGAGGAGATATTTTTCATTCATTGTTGATGACAAAGCAACAACGATTCTTCACAACGACTGACTCAAAAAGGCCAATTCAAACATGTTTCTCTTTAGTAGAAATCCTGCAGAGTAATGAGTAAAAATTTTCATGAAGTGGCAAAGAATAGCCACTCTATTAATCATTGTAAGAATTGTGGGAAAATATGTTGGGGTAAAGGCAATAATACGCTTATGAACGTGGGGACAAGCATGGGTATTGTAATAATAATAATAATTTTGCTTGTGCCGTGTTGTTGAAATAAAAAGACACACACATGCAGGCTACATGTGGCCCGCTGCTGTTGCCTGTGATTGGCTGTGAGCTGTGGTAGACCCTCTTGAACATGTCTCCATGCCTCAGCACAGCCCAGCTCAGTGGAATGGGGCCAAATCTACAGAAGGTGATTGGCTGGTGATGGGAGCTGGCGCATCAGCACATCCTTAACCCAGTGCCCTTCTTTCTGCTGCCTCCCCTCCCCCCTGCTTCGGTCAGGCTGGTTCTGCTGCTGCGGGCATACTGTGTGGAGCCACCAAACACATTTCTCCCTGCACCAGTCTCCGGTCTCTCATTCCCCCACATGTAGCACCCCTCCCCCTACAAGTGTTGAAGAATGCGACCTGTGAGCGTGTAAAAATATCTCCAATGTCAATAGTGTCTGTGCGATCTGAATGGACTTGGATGTAATACATTTTCTGCTAGTGGGAAAAAAAAGAGGAATTGGGTCAGGGCAATGTCAAGGACGAAGAGTCAAAGTATGAGAGCCCAGGCTTATACAGTAAGGCTCCCCCAGAAGTCATAAAGTCGCAGTGGACAATGCGCTGTAAAGTCAGCAATAAAGGCACAAAGGCGCGTTGGAGCGTGTCTGAACAACTGCTGTAACAAAGTAGCCTCTTTATACCTGTACAAAGGATTAACGTGGCTCAGAGGAGACACACAACACAACATAGATACTTCATGAGAGCTGTAAGTCAATAAAGACACAGTGAGACGGGCTGCATGTACCTCACAGTCGTACAAGTCACTGAGCTGTTCGATGATCCACTCCTCCAGCACCAGTCTCTTCCGCAGCTCTTTCCTGTCGTACTTGACGGTCACTTTTCCTTGCCTCTTCTGCACGGGGTCATCTGTGGTGATGGGCCCGGAGCTCACACAGCCCACCCCGGGAGCAGCCTGGAAAAAAACCCGGCTCCCCGCAGTGGGCAGCGGGACAGTGCTGGTCTCGGTGCTGGTGGCCGACATGCTGAGGACGGAGGCACCTGCACAAGTGAGTCTGTGAAGAATGAGGAGGGTCTGAGGGTGTGAGGTGATGAGAGGATGAATGAAGCTGAGCTGCAGACAGGAGAGTGGAGGCTCTTTTAACAGCTGCTATTTAAAGCGCAGGCAGAGACAGCCGGGAGGGCGGAGCTCCACTGTCCAACCACCAGCTCCATGGGCTGCATCCACACAGGTGACCGTCCAACCAACGGGGATTCCCCCGAGCACTGGACCATAAGGGTATATACAAGTTATATCTTTAAGTTTGTCCATGCAATGAAGAACACGTAAAGCTCATATGGTTTGTCCATCATTCTCCAATGGCCAATAAATACAAAGATCATTCTCCAATGGCCAATAAAACATGATATCCTAGGATTTAGGCTTCCATCGGAGGGAGTGAAATGTATGGAATGTCCATAGAGGGGTCGACTTCACCACTCTCCTTACATCAATGATTCCCCCTTCAGAATATAAACGCGCCTAAAGCGAAAGAGCAAGTCTCTGCTGCCCCCTTGTGTTGTAGGGCGCGGGCATGTTTGAAAAATGAATATCTATAAACATATATTATGTTATTATTCATGTATATATAGTAAATGATGGAAGAATCTTCTGAAGCTTATTTACATGTTTTGTTGTTGTTGTTATTTTGGCTACTATCCTCAGTGTGACATATACAATCAAACCACCTCATAGAGAAAGTTCAATAGATGGTTGACTCTTATTATTACATGCAACTTTTGGAGTAACTAAGTAGTGTAACGCATTACTTTAGATTATAGTTACTAACAAAATACTCAATTTAGGTATTTGTTACTTGCAGAACAATCTCACAAAGGCTGCTCAGACTGCTCACAAAATGTCCTACCAACAGTTTTATGAAAATGTCCGATGACGTCATATGGTGAGACCATGGATCTGGGTGAGACCGACTGAGGCCCTGGTCTGGGTCTGGCCTAGTCCGATTTTGGGTCTCATGCCTTGTCCCGATAAGAGAGGCATGCTGTTCCTAAAATGATACTTATATCACAGAAACCAACCTTGTCCTTGAATCTTCCCTGAATTCACTAAACTCAGGCTAAACATTCTACAAAAGTTCTTTATGCTTCATGATAATCATTAGTAAAACACATTCTATGGAGACATGTCTGAAATCTACATCAAACCACATACTTAAAGATGTTGTTATATTTATTTTTTTAATGAAAGTGTACACACAGGTATAACTGACAACTGTGAAGTGCAGGAAAAATGACACATGATTTTGTCAATCGTTGGAGCGTGGACAAGTATTCATTCAGAAGTTTTCTGATTGAATGAAATCACTTTTAAAACAGTCATAATGATAAGGGTTATTATTATTATTATGATAATAATATAATCATGATAATCATAATGATAATGATGCTGCTGAATGGTCACACCTCAGAGTATTTTGGTCACAAAACGACATAGTGAAGTCAGAGAAATGCACTGGCGACATCAGGGATAAGTTTCTGGAGAAGTTTAAATCATGGTTAGGTTATACAAACATTTTCCAAACTTTGAACATCTCCCACAGCACTATTTATTCCATTATCAGGGAATGGAAATCTTTATACACATGGGGCAAATATTGCACAAATCTGGCTTTTATGGACAAATACTTAGTGAATTAATTTGACAAAAGTAAACCCAAAGTAATGTAACTGAGCACAACTTCTTTCTAGTACATAGTGTAACTCATTACATAAAAAAGTAATCTCTAATATGTAAGTAATTACCGTTTCAAAGTAACCTTCCCATGTAAAAAAGTAATCAGTAATATGCCCTGGTAATATGTAACTAACTTGTTTTTCAAAATAACTCACTCAACAATTTCCGCCTTATCTTCATTTAAATATTAACCTGAATGCATCAGGACTTTGACATTTTTACCGTATTTGGATACAATAATACATACATGTTCTTTTACTGTAAGGCTGCTGCATCATTGCCGTATTAAAAAAGAGGGAGGGCTGTCTCACCAAAACCCTCCCTCAAAACCCCCACACTTGGACCAGTGTGTGTTTTTACAGTGTGCCTCTTGGGTCCAGCTGAGCGGTCATGGCTCTCCTCTCTGCTCTCACTCCAGCGCTGGCAGCTCTACTCTGTGTGGTTATAGGCTTTCTGTTTGTTAAATCAAAAGGCTCAGGAGTCAAGTCACAGGCAAAGAACAAAGATTTCAGACCATGGGTGGACCAGGACTTACAGGATAATAGCAATGTTCTCGAAAAGGGTAAGTACAGTTACGCCTGTTTTTTTTTTTTTTTGGAATGTTAACTATCCATGTCATTTGATTTCCATATGTTTGCCTGTTCAGACTTGCCCTTTATACTTTTGGAAGAATAGGCACAATTCCTGATGCACTAGAAAGACAGTAGTGGATAAACTGTGTTCCAGAGGCAGACTAGACTAGACCAGAGACTAGCACAGCTTTACAATAGTTTGCTTTTCGTTTAGTTTATTATTGTCACATACACATTACATGCAGTGAAATTCTCATGTACCACCAGCAGATGTTCAGTACAGTATTCAGAACACACAATAACAACACAACAATAATTACACAGAACAGAGACAGTTAGGCCCGGTTAGCATGTAAGACTACACTAGACCAGAGGCTAGGGTTAGGGTTGTGTAAGCGTGCAGGCGTGCGTGCGTGTGAAAAATCCAAACTTCTATTTCTACTAAAGCATTATAACAGGGCAAGTCATATCATGATTACACTTTTGAACCCCAAACAACAATTCAAACCTTTTCATAAAGATCTCACCATTTTTATCATGGGTGGATTTGGCTCACGAATGAATTATCTCGGCCCCTGGGATCATACATGATTAGTATTAGAACCGGCCCGCACAGAGCCATAAGAATATATTGGATTATTCATTTAATGTTGTTGAAAAATGTTCTCACTTGAAATTACAGAGACATTATGACAGAGCCAAACAAAAATATTGGATTATTCATTTAATCACTAAAATATGGTCCACTGTGTAAGGTCTCCAAGGCAATCATTTTAATATATTCTAATAATCTTTGAACCTGTCCGGCCTTCGGCTTTGTTTTTTTGACCCTCTGATGTATTTGACTTTGACATCCCTGCGTTATATAAAGTTATCAAGATCTATTATTGATTATGATGTTTTGTCAGATGACGATGATGCAGAGGATTATAATGAGGAAGAGGACATTCCCCATGTGCCATACTCACCCCCGCGGTACCCTGAGGAGACAATGGCGATGAGGTCTCAGGATTTCTTGTCGCTCATGTCCCAGCGGAGGAGTGTGCGCTTCATCAGCCCCGAGCCTGTTCCAAGAGAAGTCATTGATAACGTCATTCACACAGCAGGTAAAAACACCATTGCCTTTTTAACAGGGATAAGAGGTCATTTCTCTATAAATGATTTTAATTTGCAGGCACAGCCCCAAGCGGAGCCCACACAGAGCCTTGGACGTTTGTGGTGGTGTCCGACCCAGAGACCAAACACCAGATCCGGCTCATTGTGGAAGAGGAGGAGGAAGTGAACTACAGAAAGAGAATGGGCGACAAGTGGGTGCAAGATTTGGCGAGATTAAAGTGAGTAGCCAATGCAAAGATGCATACATTATATATGTTTAATGGAGGCAGTTTAAACATGCAGTTCACAATTTGTAATCACTTTTCTTTTAAGAGATTAAGAGACCTTTTATTTGTCCCACAGTGGGGAAAGGGTTTCGTCACCAGTTACAGAGCAGTAGGAATGAGTACACAGCATAGATAAATGAACACAGCTAAACTCTGCACTAGATAACTCAATACTAAACTCTCTAATAAAGACAATAACATAAAAAAATAAAGGCAGTCTATACTCTGTAATAAAACGCAGAATTAAGTACAAAATCTCTGACTAGCATAATACAGAAGCATGAATAAATCCTGTAGATTGCAGAATTATATAGTTGTATGAACACATCTGTACATGTTAACAGCATGAGGGTCTGGGACACAGGGACAGTGGACACATTTGGCTTCAAATTGCAATTTCTGACATTGTTAAAGTTATTATTGCACAGATGAGTAAAGTAAAGTAAAATGCCAGTGGGCACATGTGGTTACACCAGCACAACTAATATAAAACTTCCATCTGTTTGAATACTGTATCCGTCTGTTTGAATACTGTATAATGCTTTTTTGTCAGTGTAACATACAGTACACATAACATTGAACATACTGATTTTCACAAACCTTTGTCATGTGTTTGTATTTATAATGTGCAGGACAAACTGGATTAAGGAGTATTTGGATGTGGCTCCATATCTGATCCTCATCTTTAAACAAACCTATGGGATTCTACCTAATGGGAAGAAAAAGACACACTACTATAACGAAATCAGCGTTTGCATTTCCTGTGGGATACTGTTGGCTGCATTACAGGTACACACCCTGAATATTAAGTGGTCGTTCTCCGTCTAACCTCTTCTTTACTGATAAATGTGTTGTTTATGGTCCGCAGAACGTGGGACTCGTAACTGTCACATCAACCCCTCTGAACTGTGGGCCCCAGCTCCGCCTGCTCCTCAAACGGCCGGCCAATGAGAAGCTGTTGATGCTTCTACCCGTGGGATACCCAGCGTCAGATGCCACTGTGCCTGATTTGAAACGCAAACCTTTAGACAATATCAGGGTGCATATTTAGATTCTCAGATATGAAACAGGCTGGTGCATATATGACTTGTAAAGGGTTTTCGCTGGTTTTCAGTTGTATCAGAGGCCTCATTTTCAAGATGGCCACCCCCGAAGTAAAGGAAATGTATTATGGAGCAAAGTGTGTCCATGTCCATACTCAACATACTGTGTTGTCATAGCAATGGCAAAAAACTGGCCATGTTGTGTAAATGGTAAATTGTTCAAACTAGTGTGGTCAAGGTTGTGCTGTTGATTTTGGAGAGCACAAACAGAGCTCTCACACATCAGTACTTCATCTACAGGATTCAAAGTTAGCCACAGATATTTGATAACATTTATTCTGTGTGTGGGACGGAGCCACAAATTCTAATAACAAATCAGACCCATTTTATTGATTTATTTTTGTGATTTTGTGATGTTGATGAGATTTGCCTGTCATCCCACTCAAACTCGCATAGATGTTGATCATTCTTACATTTGCCAACTTGACATGGTTTACATAATATCTGTTCAATCACCACTTATGCTTGATTTATGATGAATATATATCTTTGGAACGTATATTGTGGATTTGGATTTGGCCTTGTTATTTACTACAACAGAATCAGGAGACTGGAGTTTTTTGGGCCTGTTTGGCCAGAGACACATTTCTCTGTTCAGAAGGTGTACAGCTATCTCACCTGGTACATCATGGAAGGAGTGAGTGATCATGCCACTGAAAGTGAAGAAACATCAACTGATGAAGACGCTGTTGTGACCATGAACACACTGACCCACTCATCATCAGCAGAAAGACTTCTAAAAGGAAACGTAACAACATCAACAAGAGACCTTAGAGTTTTATTCAAATGATCTTCCAGGAGTAAACACAAAGCCTGGATGATGTTTTTCGAGATGTTCACCCACAATATCATGGAGGATATGAAAACTGGATATAAAGACAATTATGCAAAAATCATATCAGTAAAATCAGGAGTTTAAGATTAATGATTTAACAAGTTGGATTACAGAGGTAAATCGTCCAGAAGATCATAAATTCTAGTTGATGGGATTCCAGAGGAAAAAGGAGACCACGAACGGACTAGAAAGGAAGATTCAACAAATGTTCTCTGGCAACTTGGGGTTTGATGGTTCAAAGACTGAGACTGTGTGAGCCAAATATTTATACCAATGATGACTTTTCAGAGGTGATTCAGCACAGGAGGAGGCAACTACTGCCCAAGCTGAAAGCAACAGAGAAAAAAGGAGAAAGAGCAAATCTAAGGTATGACATACTCATAATTTGGCCTGCAAATAGACAAACACAAGGCTAATTCAGAACATGCATTTGAAACAAATTGTTCTCCATGCAACATTCACAAATTGGCCTTATCTGAAACTATCTTCTAGACAACAGCTTTGAAGACTCAGTTAAGCGTTAACATGTATAGACTAGAAGAGAACTATAGAAGAGACGGGAATAAAAATTGATGCATTCTAAAAGTATTGGGATTTTTATGTATTACTGTTTTAAATTACGTGTGTGATTGTGTTTTTTTATGGCGATTTTGGGTGTTTATGTTTTTATGTGATGATTTGTGCCTTGTGTGATGTGGACTGTAAAGTACTTTGTGTTACCCTTTGTAGGAAAAGCGCTCTACAAATAAAGATTGATTGATTGATTTTTCAAAGTTAAATTACCCAACAATGGTGGTCAACATGATGAGATAGTTTGCATGCAGTTTTTGGTTCACAGAGCATACCCTCTGTTCACGCTCTTTGACAGCAGGTAAATAAAAGTTGCAGAGTGGTTTATGTATATCAGCGTTATACATCCTAAAGCTAAGATGAATTTAGCTGTGATGATATGAACTAGTTATTTGTGCTGCTTAGTTTCTTTTTATATTCCCAGACAATTAGGGATGGATGCATGACATATTAACACTGGTCACACCAATTCATCACTTTATTGTTTCACGTCGTCCAAAGCATTGATAATAGCCAGCCATTAGAAGGCATGTGTGACAAGGTTAATAAAGAGGAAGAGGGCTTCATTTGCCAATCGATGCTTATATAGTAAACGCATAGACTGTGTGTGGCCTACAAGTGAACGTTATCGCCTTGCTGTTCGCAGAATACGTCGCTAGTAGAAGTAATGAGTCCTGAGGCGCGTGCCAAGCGCCGAAGAAGACGAGCCGCATTACGCATGCGTACACCACGTACACTGATCCAGTTGACGCTAGCAAATGCTAGCGGCTAACGCGCTGACAACTACACTGGGCTGAAAGGGGGACGCGTAGCGGCGGAGAACAAGGCGTCTCAAGTGCCGCTACGAAATGGCCGGACAACAGTTTCAATACGATGACAGCGGCAATACATTTTTCTATTTCCTCACTTCGTTTGTCGGACTTATAGTGATCCCCGCCACATACTACCTCTGGCCCCGGGATCAGAATGCTGGTAAGGCCGCTCTGCTGCTGCTGTCTGGGGTCTGCATTCACAATAACTTGCTAACAATGTAACCACAGTCTCTAACTAATCGAAGACTGAATAATTGTGTCTAAAATAGTCTGTTCATTATCCAGTCTGAGTTTTAACATTTAAGGTCTGCTTTGGAACAATATTTATCACTCGCAATGTAGCGTTTAGGCTAAAGATGTGTACGTGTTGACACTGCACCTGAACCCCTTCCTTAAATCAAAGTACTCATGTTTTTTACTCTTAGCTCGTATCTCTTCACTGTGTGCCTGTGGTTCTTCTTCTCCACATTTATACTTACATTCTACTGTTACAGTGTTTATTCTTGCACAGCTGGTGCACACGTAGATCTGAGAGCAGACCACTATCCGCTGTTCACAAGTCTCATAAGCATGTAGATTATATTAGAGGAATGTGTAATGTGTGTGTGGGGCTACTGAAGAGTACATGCACGTATCGGCCAGCATTATGTTATTGAATTTCCTTGTCCCCCCAGAACAACTTCGCCTCAAAAGCCTGCGCAGGGTCCATGGCAGGTGCCTGTGGTATCGGCTGAGGCTTATGAAATCACAGCCGTA